TTTGAAATTGTTTTTCTAAAAGTAATGGCTATCAAAGAGTAAAAAGGTTTGTATAAAGTGACAACTGTTCAAAAATATCTTCTAGGCATACACTGCACTGCTTTCACCCTTGGTGGTTTTTGGCCAGAGGTACTAATGTTGTGGAGGTACATCTGACCAGCAGAACTGAACCGAAACGTAGGTGTGTAACCTCTGTGGAATCTTCACCTAAAAATTAAACTGAAATAAAGGCAGCTGAAAGCCAGGTTCCAGCCCAGCTGTTGATGGTGCTGTGCTACCACCAGGCTTCATTGTCTGCTTGCCTGGACACGTGGACAGAGGTTTTGGCCCTCAGAGCAGCCCCTCTGGAGTCAGCATCAATTATGCAAGACCTCCCCTTCCCTTTCCTTATCAAAATACAGCTATAAATACTTCTCTACCTCACTGGCATGTTATGAGAGTTAATGAGTTGGTGTCTGCAAAGCACTTTCAAAGTATAAAATGGTGTGGAAGTTCTGAGCACTGTGTTGTGAAGGTCTCCCTTTCCCCAGCTTAAGGCAGAATGAGTTAAAGTTAGCCAAAGGGGATAAGAGAAACAAGAGAGACTTTATGAGTCTACCAGGGGAAAAGGAAATACTGGAGAGAAAATAGACCCATTAGCAAATGAGGAAGGAGATGAAGTTAATTATGATTTTAAAATGGATGAGCATCAGAGCTGCTTTTTTTAAAAGAAAAAAAATCAGTCCTGAACAAAAATAATAGGGACTGACAATTAGGAAGAAGTGGAGGCCTTGTGAAAACAGGGGTTTGATTAAAACGTGAGGAGAAAAGAACTTGTAAAACATGAATATGTGTAAATGAGCAAGTCTAGATGAAACTCATCTAAAGAACAATGAGAAGCTAATGGATTTTTTCAAATATTTACCTATGGCAGATGAGGCAAAAGTCATATCAGGGAAAAAAAAAACAACAGCCTCAAAAAAGCTAATGATGTTTGGAAAAAGGATTCCAGTGATTACCTGCCAGTAAGTATTCATCTGTACTCAAAACAAGAAGCACAACTGGAGTGAGCAGGCAAGCAATATATCTTTTGGGTTATGAAGCCAAGCATCACATTTTTTGGGTTATGAAGCCATGCTACACAAATGAGGTATCCTTACAGAGTTTCAAAATACACCAATGAGAAACCCAATACCTGCTGGGTCAGATCCAGAATTGCTGCTCTGCCTCTTTACACCAGCAGATCTATTTGCAACATTGGAACTTGAGTAAATCATTTGACAGAGATACCTTGCAAACTTGTGTTTGAGAAAATAAATCCAAATTGGCTTTGATAGGAAGGGTGTCATTTGGGCTGAGAATGGCAGTATGAGGCCACATAGAAAGTGATCTGAAGACAAAAATTAAAATAGAGTCTGGTTGTAAATATGTTATGATTATTTCAGCATGAAGAATGATTAAGACATAATTATAAAAAGAAAAACAAGTTACTGTGTGAGCAGCAGAACTAGGACAGCCTGGTTCCTGATGTATTTAGGTACTGTGGCTAGGTGGCTGATGAGTTTCCTTTGTGACAGCCCCTCTGAGGCAGGGGTGGGCTGGCACGTCAATGGGGGCATTGGTAGGGGTGCACTTCATGATATCAGTGACAGTCCCGTGTGTTTGAGCCGTACAAAACCTCCACATGCAACTGGGGTCAAATAGCAAACCTTTCCAGAAGTTCTGAGGAGGGAATTCACAGACAGGGATCTCATTTGCCACAACCATTTACTGGGAACTCAGACTTTAAAATCTTGAAAGAGGGCAAATTCTGACTGAAAATTGGAATGTCACAAATTAACAAAATGCTCTGAATTTTGAGACCCTGCCCCTCTCCTTTCTCTTGTGTCTACAACACTGTGCCTGCATGGATATAGAACATAGAGACATTAGCTGTAATGATCTTATTTTCATACCTACTTCTCAGCTATTACTTTAGAAGCTTCCCATCCTCCCCTGCCAAAAGGACAAAGCATTTTTCCAGGGTGCTATTTGTTCCCATTTAGTGTAAATGGTTAAGAAAATAAGGAGTTTCTATACGGATTATTTTGAGATATATTATTCTTTAAAGCCAGTCTCTGACTGTTGAACATGTACACCCAGCTATGATCAATAAAATTGCTTCTTGCAGAGAATGATGCTTACAGAACTTCAGACAGGTTAAATTTGCCTGTTCTAGGGAGGGGATCAAAGCTCACTTACAGTTTATGATATTCAACCTTCAGTATAAAGCTAGGCCTGCAGAATCTCCTGAATATCATGTCTATGTCTGTTTCTGCACTGAGAACTGAAGTGAGGACAAGGGCACTATTTCTTGCCTGCTATTAATTATCACTGAGTTGCATAGGGCATCCCAATAGATTTTTATATGAGGACAGAAGGATGCAACACTTTTTAAGAATAATGTTCTGGTGATTCCTTTTCATGTCCAATTACCACTTTCTACTTGTGAATAGCAGATTTTGTAAAAGCTTCTAGCCTTGTTATATTTCACATTTAATTAAAAAAAAAGTGTCCTACATGGTTTCACACCAGTAGAGAGGTCACAACACACATGGACTGAGAGGAAATCCCTCTAAACAGCAGGAAATATGGAACACCTCAAATATGGTTTTGAGAAAAGTGACTTAGCAGTTTTCATATCTGTAAAGCTGGCTCACAGATACATGGAAATCTATGCAGAAATATACTTCTCTGTCTACCATCAGGATTTCAGAGCCCAAAATGGAAAGTGCAAAAGGAATGGTATGAAACCAGAGCCAGCGTATGTTCTGTAAGAGCAGCAAGGCTCAGAGAGCCCTACTACCACTTGTAACCAATCTGCTTCCCATGGCTCTAATGCAAAGTTACATTTGGAGTGGCAGTTTTATAGTGGGGAGGATTAGGGTGCCTAGAAACTCTTCCCCCTCCTCCTCTTCTACCACCTCCTTGTCCTCCTCTCCTTTGGGTCACATATCTGGGGAGCACCCATGGCCCTCATCTGCTGCTGGGTAATGCTGAGCATGAGGATGTGGACTGACCCACCCTCATTCCTTCTGTCTTCCTTAAGGTCCTGCTTTCCCGCTTCTCATGCTTTCCCTTGCAGATTTGCTTATTTCTTAACAGTGCAACATAGTATATTATGCATTTGCTACGAGCCTAAAAAAGCAAGACAGATTTTATCATTTGGGCTGTAGATATTCAATGCCCATTATGGGCTGACTAAATTTAGTAGAGTGGCAATTCACCAGACTACTAAATTTAGTTAGGACATCCGGTCATATCATTTTACTTAGCTTAATATTGGGTATCATAAGATAGGGTCTATCAAACAGTATGGCTCCAGCTTCCCCAGCTGCAGATTATATTATCACTATAGCTTTTCAAAACATTCATGCTAAGTTTTTTAAAGTCTTAACCTTTTTTAGTTTGTATATTTTGTTACAAGTTTATGAATATGGTCAAAATTAATTTGGTTTTCACCAAAAAGATCACTGTTTAAAAAAAGATGCTGCTGTTTTCATTTTCAGTAAAACCTTTGTCTTTCCTCGTTTAACTTCAGTTAGAACAGGAGGAATTTTATTCTCAAAGCTAGGTGGACAAGGTGGAGTCCCATTTGTGGAGAAATTTTGCACAATGATTTTCATTGCCTTTACGCATTTCTTGTTGCTATCAAATCTCTGGTTTGTTCCAGATAGGAAAGAAAAAAGCTTTATGAGAATCCAGACAACCTGGCCTGTGACAGCGAGGAGTACTCAGTGCTGAAAATTCAAACTTCTCTTGTGTAGAGTAAATGTGAAAAAGATCTTGGTAGATCCCATTCACAACTGCTGGAGTTATGGCAATGGGATCAAATATGACTGACAGAATGGCACTTACAAGCTCATCAGCCCTGCTATAATTCTTAGGTGTTATACGGCAAGAAAATTGCAGTAGCAATATTTTGGGAGTCTGTGCACTTAATATATGGAAAGAAAATTGCAGTTGCAATATTCTGGGAGTCTGTGGACTTAGTCTTTTGTGGGAGGCCTTGAAAGGGAGCCAGTGTCTCTCCATCCCGAGTCAGTCATTTCCTATCCAAGTAAACTGGACTGAGATCATCTAGATTCTGGTGTTCGTTTCTAATGAGCTTTCACAGTAAAACAGGAAATAATAATCTTGAAAGGGGAAAAAATGGTCAAAAATCACTCAGAGAACATTTAAAGGTTTGTTCTGAACAAGCAGGGCTAAGAAAAAGGCCTGAGAAAAGTGTGTCCTGGGATCACTCACAGTTAAAGCACTGATTAATTAAGCAGAGGGTCATTCTTCAGAAAGACTCAAGGGCAGTTTTGGCCCCGCGGCTGTAATTTGGACACTTCTGGAGTTCTAGATACACTGAGCTATTCTGTGCAGGGCCTGTGAATATGTGCATTCTTCTGGCTGAACAATGGCATCTTTATTCAAATGGGAGCCACTAAGTAAGTGGCTGTCTCCTAATATGGGTGGTATTTCTTCCTGCTCTGCCTCAATCTCTGCTGCTTTCCCGTGGCCTTATCAGTGCTTTGTAGCACAACTTGCAAAATGAAATCTATTCATAATGTTAAAACCCTCCCCCTTTTATAGACACAGGAAAAAAAACCCCAAACGCTTACATATCCTCCAATTCTATGGCAGGGTGTTTACTTTTTTAAATGCAATTCTGCTTATCTGACGCTGGTTTGGAAATTAATAAAATGGTGCCTGGGTTTTATTGTTTTGACTATGGGAAGGAAATTAATCCACAACTATTACAAGTGTTTGATCCAAATAAGCAAAGATAAAACTACGGTTTCAAGAAACATCGTTCCCTGTTTGTCAGGTATCCTAGTGCTCCTGACGTGTCTGATTTATTTCTGCCTTGTTTAGCAGCAACACTGTCCAGGTAGTTGATGCCCATTCATCTTGCTTTGTGTAGGTATTTCTTCAGGGTGGCTTTATTTATTATGCCTTAACTACTGTTCCTTCTTACTTACTAGGTTTGGCTCTGGCTGCGGTTAGAAAAGACATTGTTTGTCTGAAGAGACAGGGGTGTGGTGAAAATACTCTGTGCCAGCCAAGTGAACCAAAACACTCTCTGAATTACTACACAGGCTGGAAAATAAAATTTAACTGACAGAAGATCTGGACCCAACCTGTGCTAAGAGACAGAGAGAAAAAGAATACCAGGAATTGCCATGTACAGTTGGAGGTAGGTCTGGAGAGGGGGACTGTGTCCCTCAAATCCTCTCAGCAGTTCACAGCAGAGCAGGATTTATAGCGTTATTGCTTGGGGAAAGCTAATGTCAATGTTTATGCAATATTAGTTGGTATTGTTAATAGTTAATTTGGTGACAGCAGGCTTGTGAAACTGTACTACAGAAATCTGTGACTTCCCTTATCAGGGGAACTGGGCTGTGGAAGCACTCACAGAGCAGACCTGTCCCAAAGCTCAATGAAACTGACAGTGGCTGCTGGAGTCGCAGGGACTGGAGTGGTGGGGCCGGAATGTTACTTGTTCCTAGCAAAAAGCAGAGCCTAGGCATCTTTAGCTGCATGTGTCTCCTGAAATTGTGCTTTCCCAGACCTGTGTAACCACTCACTGTACAGTGAGTGCTGGTTTGGTATTTCATACAGTTGCAATGTAATATAAAACACACCATCCCTGGAGTGGACACCATGTTTGTCTTCCTCTGTAAGAGCCCACCTGTGTGAGTGGGCAGCCGCTATCCCTCTTCCCAGAGGCTTTTGCTCCACTCCACCATCCCACCAGCACTAGGCAGACCAGCAGCCACCCTGGTGGTGCCAGGGCAGCCTGGCAGCTGTGGCCCTTGCTGGAGGCATGACTCCTCACAAACCATGTGGCTACCATCTAAAGCTCCACCAAAACACCTGCCAGTCTTCAGGCTGGGGACAAAATGGGAGGGAAAATGACTGCCATCATTCCTACGTTCTGCCTGACCTGCTGAGCAGTCTGTACTGTGAGAGAGGGCACTGGGTGGATGTGTCTCCCCACGCCTGTGTGGGGAAGGAAGCCATGAGAAGAGCCTTGGAGGACACCAGAGGACAGAAGTTTTGCATTAGCCATGAGCCAGAGGCAGTTACTCATATTTAAACAGTACCAGATTCTGGGGAAATTCAGATGCAGACCTGAAATACATGGCTTGGCAAAAGACTTTTGTTACTGTCACATGTCTGACCTCTAAAAAATAATATTAATTCAAAAGTTAAATGTGTTCAGCTGACAGTGATAGAGTATTTGTGTTAAGGAGCTGATTTTTCAAAGGCATAAAATCAACTTAGTGATGTGTTACAATTGCTTCCTTGATGTTCTACAGAAGGCCTGAGTGCAGCAGGTTCAGGGGACTTTCAGCTGCCATGAGGCACTCATTGCACTCAAGGGTGTGGTTGTGGGCTCTCACTAAAAGAGTTGCATTTCCATAGGTGGTTCTGAAGATTCATGATCTTTCTGGACATTTTAAATACAATTATTCAGGATATTATTTCTCCTTTCTTAGTTTCCAAGCAGGCAGTTAGACTGAGCAACCACAAACATAGATCCTGTAACCGGCTTTGATGTGAGAGCAGCATTACCACAATTCTGGAGATATCTCTTTCTTTTCTGAACTATATTGGCAGCCCATGGTACCAGAATGTCAAAATGACATTCACTCTGTATTACACAGTTTATAAAAAATTGTGTTTACATTTTGTCTCCTTTGCCCTTTTCAATCTTGCTTTATTTTCTTATAGTTTTGTAACTTAAGCTGTACATATTTGGAGATATTTTTTTTCCTTTCCTCATCTAGCTTTATGGCTTGTTCTGGCTGAGATGTCCTTACATGATTTGATATTACAAGAAATATATGCTAACACATGTAATTGTTCCACAGTGAAGCAATCTGTCTGCAGCATTGGGGAATGATATATATTAAAGTTTTCTTTCATGCTATTTACAGAATGTATTGCTGGCTCTACAAATGATGCAAATATTAGGAACTGAAACAATAAGGCTTGGGATAGTTAGCAGGGAGCATAAATGTATGGTGGAGCCAAATACTCCTCAGAGTAATATTTTCATCAGGGACAGCATGTACTGTAACCAGGGGAGATAAGCATGAGTAGGCAAAACTGGCTATGCTTGGAGCCAACATGCAACAGCAGCTACAAATCACACACTGCTGAGTGACACCTGAAAAACTGAAGCCTGGATCTTCTTTCAGGAAGAGCCCTTCCTGCTGTAAGTAGGGTGTGAGGCAGGAGCAGGTCAGAGGGACTGCCAAAGTGTGCCAAAATGCTGCTGTGCCAACAGCACAGAGCAGCTGTGACAATAGCTAGGAGGGGAGGCCAGGCTGCGCTCAGCCTCTGGAGTCCTGCCACCTGGTCCTTGTGCTGGTGGCAAGTGGCCCTCTGATATTGGAGTGTTTAAGGAAGTGTCACAGAGCCAGGTGGATTGAGAGCAGGGACTCATCATGGAGGAGCTCAGTAGCCTTTTCCATGCAAAGAAATGTCAGAGGACTTTGGTGTTTCTGAGCAGGAGAGCAGTGATGCAAACAGCCAAGAATTGTTGCTGAGGTGGAGTAGCAAAGCTTGTTTAACACAGGGTGCATTGCAGTGGTATCAGCAGTGTGGAGTCAGTGCTCCAAGTGCTGCATAGTAGGACTTATTTAAAGCAGCTATTGTAAAAGTCTTCGAGCCAGTTAATTACCAGGTTTTGTTATGTCAGGAACTCCTTGAGTTAAAGCAGAAAGAAACTATTCATGAATATGTTCCAGTTCTGTAGTTTAATGGGACAAATTTAAAAAAAAAAGAAAGAGAGAGAGAATGAAACTGATAAAATGATTTAGTTCACGGAAAGATTGAAAAGCCTTACAAAAAAAAGCTGAAATTACATATTGTGCCCCATCTACTCTTGCATAAGCCATTGAAATTGCCAGAGACTTAGCTGGACTAATCGTCCATTGCAGTTATGCATGAGCCTTAGGGAGTGCACAAGGTGCATATAGGTCAAAGCACCAGCCTATGAAAGAGAGGGAAATTATCCAACAGCATTTCTAAAAATGTAGGTGTCCAGGTATTAAAAGCCAAGAGGCTTGGCTTGCATTTAAAAAGTATTAAGAGCAAGTGAGGAACTTAATTTAATTTATTCACCAAATGGACTCGAAGAGGTGTGAAAAAGGACCGAAGTTGGCCAGGATGGGCAGGTCTTTGAGCAACCAGCTCTTGTGGTAGGTATCCCTGCCCCTTGCAGAGGGGTTGGGACTAGATAATATTTAAGATCCTTTCCAACCCAATTCATTCTATGAAGTGATGCTAGGCAAGAGAAAACTTTCAATGAAAAACAAAAATCTACAGAGGACATTAATGTAGACTCATTCCCTTCCGGCTTATATGAGTTTTTCCCTCTGCACCTCCTTGTTTGCTGTGAAGTTATTGATCGACCATGGTTATTGGAAGCAGATTTGGGCCTAGAAGTTCCATCTGATCAGAAAAAATGTAATAATGCATGCTGCATATTGAACTGATCTGCAGATATTGGAGTAAATGCCTGTTTAGAGCCTGTCTCATACTATCAGTATTCTTCAAACATCTACTTTGCTTCTTCAGAACACCCTGAAAATCACCAACACATCTACTGAATTGAGTTTTAAAAACAAATCAAAAAAAGAAATCAAAAACAATCATAGCTTTTGGCTCTGCTGGCTAGAAGAATACTGTTGCTGAGGGGGTGCTTCCTGCATGTGTCTGAGTATCTCTAAAATGATCTGTCAGGTATAAATGTGTCCTGGTTTCTTCTGTTGCAAAGAGAGCTTTTTAGAAATTTACCCTACCTCTTGAGAGAAGAAATGAGTCCAGAATACCAGAATACCAGAATACCCACCTTCCTAATTCTTACCATTCCACAACTGAGACCCCGCAGACCTGCTCATATATTATGAAGCATCTTGGAGGAAGCTGTTATGATTTTGTGCCTATAAAGGCAATAATCTCTCAGGATATGGAGAAAGTGCAGAGGATATTGAACACAGTTTGTTAGATATTTTCTCTTGGTATTCCTTGTGTCTTTTCATCCATGGTAAACTTCTCTGTGCTTGGCTTTTCAGAAGTCCCCAGGTCCTACACCAAACCTTAGGTAATGATTGTACTGTAATGTAGGGCTGACCACACTGTAGAGGTTATCAGCCTTTCAGCAGTGCTCTCTTCCCAGGGCTGATTTCCCATTTGGCATGCTACTCCTCACTTCTCCCTGCTCCTGCTCCCCTCCCCTGCCCAAGGGCTTTGTTCTGGGTGTAAGAGCCCCTCTGATGCATGCTGAACTTACAGGGTTCAAGACATGAGGCTTTTGCTGTGTTGTTCTTTAAAGTGCTAATTTGGTTTTACTAATATATTTTCAATGTTTGGGATTAGTAGAGCTTGTAAGAACACATCAGACCTGCCAGGTTTACAAGTCCACTCACCACCTTCACCCCCTTACATATTTTTTAATATAGCTAATTAGAAGATAATGCCGGTGGAATGAAACAGTGTCATATGATAATGATCTCACACCACTATAGAAATGGTAAGTGGAAATGTTTATTTTCAAAGGGAAGAAACACTGATCATGTGCTTAATCCTATATTCTTAAACAAGTAAAATTCCTGTAGATTTCAGCAGAGCCTGAGGTGACAACATCCTATTACTGTGGTAGTGTTTCTGGATACCAAATGGCCGTAAGCGATGTAGTCATTTTCTCCAAATGATACTGGTGCAGTATTGGAACAGATGTTTCTCTTACCTTTATTAGCCTGTTGGATCTTCTAACTTGGAGGACAAATTTTGCATGTGCTTCATTGCACCAGCTTAGACAGTTTTTTATAAGATGTGCTTTAGGAAACAGTGAGCTGTGGTTTGGATGAAGTTATGCATATTTTTAACTTACTGACAGTTCATAGTGGTGGTACACAAATCTCAGTTGCTACTGCAGGCTCCCTTTTTTTTACTAAGGATCCTCTCTGTTTAAGTCAAAGATGGCCCTCCCTCTGTGCTTATGGAATTTTGGAAACAAGGGTTGTCTTAAGTTCACCTTCAGGAGTAAACCACCTTATCTTTGTGGTGAGGGGCTACTCACAGGTAACAGGTACAAGTGCATTAGCTCTTCTGGCCTAACTGTTCCTGTTTCCCAGTAATAGAATTGAGACAATGTGGGGCAGCTTTACCTTTCATTCAGGCTCATCCTTGTTGTATGTATTCCCACGAGCCGTGCTGCTGGGGGCTGTGCTGTGCAAATTCTTCCCCAGATCACCTTGCAAGGAGCCTCTCTCTGCTATGAGGTGGCAGTAATGGGGTGGCTACATTCACCTTTACTGTCTCCCCCAGGGAGGCATTCTTTCTACTGCAGCCCTGGACTCACTTCAGATGCAGGGCTGTCTCACAGACAGGGGAATAGTGCAGTAGAAATTGGAGACAGCTACAGAGCTGCCTTCAGAGAAAAGCCTGACAGTGAAAGCATTGAGGTTTATCCTGGTAAGAATTAACTTGCACAAGTTGTCAGTGCTTCTCCATGGAAGGTGGCCATTGGTTTTCAGAAATTGCTGCTGTTTTCACTATTAATGAAACTTCATCTTTCCATTGGATCATCTCTAACCTGCTGTAATTGTTCTGATTTTTATTTTTTACCTTGTTCACCAGTTCATGTCTAAATACAAGAAGATGTTTATATTGCATACATTCAGCTTTAATTGGCCCTTAAAAGAAGGTGTTGATTAGAATCTTCTCAACATCAACAGCTCGCTCGCACAACATTCTCTAATTACTGTTTATTAATTTAGTTCAAGTGGCATAGTTGAAAGCCCTGCTCAGATGGGAGAAGTAAATTGTCACTGGTATTGAATATGTAAATTATGTGCCATGTAAGTTTCCATGAAGAATGTTTAAAGTTAAATGTTACCCACATAAAGCCTTCCAGTTTCATCTAAGCCAGCCATATGACAGCTTTGCAAAAAGTGTCATGAAAATTTACCAGCCCTGGCAAAAAAAGTACTTGCCTATCCTTTACTTTTTTTCTATTAACATAATCATTATGATAATAATAATTTATTTGCCCATCAAAAAAAAAGTAATCATTCATTCTGGCTGGCTGGAGATTTGCAAAGCTGCCAATTGAATCTGAATTACATGTTGCTACAGTAGAGGCATTCAGCAGCCTGGATTTCTTGCCCTAGTGCAGTAACCCTCCCTTCTCTTTAATTAGCTTATAAAGTCAGAATTTCTTTAACAAAGTACTCATTAAACATTGCCTTGTTACATTACTTTAAAATGCAATTAAAAGTTTTAAGAGTGTCGTGGAGTTTGTGTGCCATTGTCAGCATCCATGTCACTCACTATCGGTTTCCACCCACTCACACAGATCAGAAGCCTCCTGTTAAATATAGATGGCACTTCATAGCATGTCTATATAGACTAGGCATAAAACAATATCCTGATGAGGATGACCTGACTTGCACCTTATGTTTCTGGGCATAACAGAGGAATGGAAGGGAGGACATACTAGATGAAGGAGGAGCTCAGAGTATTCGCTGTCCTTCCACCTCTACAGTCCTCTCTCTGTGGCCCTTTGTGTGGGAGTAGCTGCACATTGTTGGTAAGTGTGCTGCTTCCAAACCTTCCCAGACAAAGCTGCATGGGAATACCACATAGTTATTCTATTATGCATCTGAAACAAGAGAGACCAGACATTGCATTAAAAGAGAATGAAAAATATTCAATGCCTGAATGCTGCCTGGGCCTTCACCCAGTCCTCACACTCTCGCTGGCTGCTGTTATCATGAATGGCACTAATCAGTTCCAGGAAATCTCTACAACAAGCATTATGTCACATATGGTTACGTCATTCCCTCTAACCTCTAGGGCTTCCTGTTGACATCTCTGGAGCTCTTCTACTACCAAATGGTATTAGAAGAAATGCCAAGCTGTATTTTTATCCATTTCTGTCTGCCAAAAGGAATTCAAATGTTTCCCATTTGCAGGTTTCACCTGCTGGGTCGCATCTTTGCTTCTTAAAATGAGCAAACCTTAGTGAGCCTTCTCAGAGTCTCTCCAGATGTTTGCATAAAGGATAGTAAGAGCATGTGAGGGGTTATTGAGACAGAAGGGGCTAATGCCTCTGCAAAATGCATTTATTCTTAATGTCTACCAAACTGCTAATCCAGCCTGTCAGTTGTGTAACCTCTGTTATAAATTCCACCCCAGGAAGCTGTTTCTCTGTTTCATTCTTAATTCTTTCCTAAGAGATTCTGTTTCCCAGTGTGGGCTATGTTTCACCTCTCATTGATTTCAAGCATTGTGTGCATAGCAGTCCCCTTTCTCCTTGCAGGGCCATCTCCAAAGGAAGGAGCCATTTCCCTCTTGGAACAGACAGTGACACCCTTCAGCTTCTCCTTGCAACCCCCACTTACCCAACAGCTTAGCTGAAAAAAGCAGGGCTCAAAGTCTTTCCAGATCTAACAAGCAAGATTCTTCCTTCTCGAAAACCGCTGTGCTCCTTGGTTTGGGTGTTTTTTATTCTTATTATTTGTCTAGTTTATACCATCCTTTCATTCTAAGAGTTTTATTTTTGTGGATGTTTCTGTGTTTATTCACTGCTGCAGTAGGTATCAACAACATGATTAAATTCCAGCTCTGACTGTTGCAACATAAGCGCTCTGCCTTCATTATCTGCAGTGCCTAAAACTATTTGATCTCTAATAAGTTCACCTGCAAGTGTGCCTCATTTGCATGATGAGGCTAACTGGTGCAGCCTGGGTGCATATTGGTCTGTAATTTCAGTTTCTCTTCGATCAGATGCATCAAACAGAAGGAACTATTAGAATTGCCAGCGACTGTATTTTTTAGTGTTAATCATGCCAGAATACTAGGAGTCCCAGGCAGCCTTACCAGGCTGGAGAAATCCAATGATAAAAAGCAGGGGAGCGCTTCTGATGTCAGATCACATACAAAACAGTGCTGTGCTGGGGATAGTTGATCTGCTTTGATGGCACACAGTGTTAAGATCATACCCAGTCCTGAGCAGGTTATTCAGTAGCCTTCTTTGGTGAGCCGCACCATTGCTCCGAGCCCTTGAGGGAGCTGTGAGCTGTGCCACCCAGCAAGGACCTCTGCCCTGGCCCATCAGGCTTACAGCTGGAGGTGTCCTTCAGCATCTCAGAGTCTCTGCCTCAGTGTCCCCAGCTCCCATTCATCCTCTCTGGTCCTGCACTTAGATCCAGCTGACATTTATTGGGCTGTAATACCAAGGGTTTTACTGCCCAAAGTGTGTAGGAAGAGAAAATGTGTTCTCTTACATCAAGCTTTTAGGAACCTGAACCTTTCTTTGTGTCTGAAACAGAAGCAGCAGACTTCAAAGCTAAATGTAAGAAGAGAACAGCAGCTCAGTGATTGTGAGAGTTGTAGCAATAGTGCTGAAAACGTGTCAAGTTGCCTATTTCCTTTCTAGATCAAGCTCAGGATAGTCCTGTGTGTTTTACTGTGTTCAGCGTGACTTTAAGAAATGTGATTTGCCCCATTGCAGCATCCGTTACTTCTCTAATTTCAGATTTCAGCTTCTTACATTGCATTTTCATTTAAGACAACTTTTAATTGTGCTGAATGATCTCTGAGAACATCAAAATGTCTCTCATTGCTCTGAATGGGTCCTATACTGAGTTTGCATTTCATACACAAAACCAACTCTTTTCTGTTGCTCTTGGGCTCACACAGCAAATAAAAAACTAAACCAAGCAGAACCAAACAAAAGAATTCTGAGAAGCTCATCAGCAGTATTTGCTTTGTACAGAACAGTAATTTTTCCCAGCACATACTTCCAAGAATTTTTTAAAATGTCATTCATACATCATCTGCCCCAACAGACAATAGTTGTTCCAGAGAAGCTGTTGCTCTCTATTAGGTCAATGATCAGTGAACTAAACATTTTCTACTTAGGCCCTCATATGATAAAAGCCTAAGAGCTTTGAAGGAGCCATTACAGACTATTGCCTAGAAGAAATATCCATTTGAAAATTCAGCAATTATGTACTTCTATAATAGCGTGTAAAAGGAGCTCTGGACCCATTATGGGTTATTGAGTAAATAATGTATTTTTTAAAGTGTCTAAGTAATTTATATGATAGCCTGTATTGGCAGCAAAGAGTGACTGTAGACTAAACATTCTGTCTTTCTCTCTTTTTAAAAATCTCATTTAAATCCCTAAATAGCAATTAAAGAAAGAAATCCCTGATGCAGTTTCAGTATTTCTATAGTAGTCAATAGCTAATGGCTCTGACTTTGCTGCACTGAGGCTGCCATTTTGTGCTGAGACAGTTTTCTCTGGTCTGACTTTCTTTTTTGTTTTGATTGGATAAGACAGGAGGATTCATTATCAAATATAATATAGGAGTGTCCAGAGGCCTCCTGGAAGTCAGACTCGCAGTCATCAGACCTACCCATAATCAGAAACAGCCACTAACCAGAAGAGCCACCAGCCCTGAGAGAGGACAGAAGCTGACAGTCGCTATTTTGGGGGAGAAATGAGTCATGGAGAGAAGAAATATGTTGTTTGAGGTCATGCAGGAAACAAAGAACCTCTGCCTCCCAAGGCCAAGTTTAGTTTCCCTGCTTTATGTGTGGACCTTCCACGGAGAGGCACAGCCTGAGCTTCTCGTTGCTGTGCATCTCGAGTGCTAATGCAAACTGCTGCTCTGTCAGGTGACCTCCACAGCCTGGCTTCAGACCACTGCATTCAGCCCTCTCAGGCACAGATACGGGTCAAAGCAGATAGGAAAACACTGCAGTTCAAAAGATTTACATTGTAACCACAATGCACTATGAAACATGAAGGAAAACAAACTTGTTTTCCTCTTGTAAGCCAGGAGTAAGTTTCCTTAGTCCTCCCATTTATTTATCATACTGCTTCCTGCCATAGCAGGAACACAGCATAGTCACCTCTTTAATAATTTTCTGTCAAAATTTGAAAGAATAAGTTGAAACAGTTTTGTTCTTTTTAAGAAACACTGGTGCTTGAGCTGCTCTGAATTTTGGACATTATCTTGGGATCTCCAAATATCCAAATGTCAGACCAAGCAGCCTTCAGTGCCCCAGGGACAGTACTGGGCTTCTGTACTACCTGTACCTTACAATATTGCAAGGGGCCTGACTTGAGGCCACAAAAGTAAAACAATTTTCTGCTGATGGTGATGCTCCATCTTAACTCTTTTTGATGGTACTTTATCTGGCATAAATTTGATACAAAGTCTCTTTGGTGCTCTGGAACCTGGAGGTCCAGACCTGTGTTGTAACTCATTTTGTACATGAAACACCTGACCAGCCAGCAGGAAGCAAGCATTCTGTTTCCCTTGTCTGCCTGCAGTCCTGATTTCCCTCTTCAGAGGCTGTTAATGCTCCTTCATATGTGTGTTCAGAGCATATTGTGCTCTTCCCAAAGCTAGCTATGCTCTTCAGTCATATCTCAAGAACATCGCCTTTAGACCTGAATTTCACTATTTCTGCTCAATTCCTCATTGTTTAACAAAAGTGGTTCTGATGCAATGAATAAAATGTGGCATTTTAGCTGCCTTCTGGGAGATGTCAAGGGATAGGTCTGTGTAGTGAGGTTACTGGCATGTGAGAATTTGTTTTTCATGGGCTTGGAAAGACACAAAGAAGATAAGAAATGCAAGGGTAATAAGCACAGTTCAGAAGACAAAAAAAAAAGGGAGTGGCTTAATGTTGAAATGTTAAGGTAGTATGAAGAAAATCCACCTTGTAAAGTAAAAAATGTAAAGGACAAATGTAAAGTGAAAAATGGCGAAGGACTGGTAACAGAGACAGAAATAAATGAAGAAACAAGGTGAAAGGTGTAAATACATGTAAGTTGAATTCAAGCAAAACACATAATGCCTTAAAATGCTATCGGTCTCTCTCACAGTTAAACTGTATTTGTCACTTAGGAAAGGAGAGTTATCTGTTGGGATAATTGACTGGAGTGATGATGAAGTACCTATCACTGGAGTATTTCTATGACAGAGTAGTCAAAAATCTGAGGAATGCTGCCAGCTATTGGATGAACCCTTCTAGTCCTATTTTCTGTGACCTCAGCATCCCATAATGCCTGAGTGGGAGCAGTACCTCAGTTATGTCATGGAAAACCTGTTTCTCACCTGGTCACCTCCTCACCAAAATTCTCAACGATCTCAAAGAGTAAACAAGGCACAAATTTGGAAATTAAGTCTATGAGGGAAATTAATATACAGGGTAAAAAAAAGAAAAGGAACTGGTTGATCTGCAGACAACATTTTCTTCTTACCTATGGACTCAATGCCACAAAACTTGCAATTTCCTCCTCATACCGAACAGCCCCATTCTGCAACAAATACCTAGTTTGGCTTAGATACAAACCCAAAGCCCTCACAACTTAAATTGAAAGAACTTGGGGTTTTTCTTCCAAGAACAGTTATTAATTGATCTACTGTGCTTCAACTCTAAATAATTCTGTTCTTCCATTCAAGGAAAATTCCTTCTTATTTCAACCAAAGTCACACTTCTGAAGTGATCTGGGATTATTCCAGACTGGTGATTATTTTTATGCAAGCCACCAGTTACCATCACTCTATAAAACAAAGTGCAAAACAGGCTTTTAAAAGTAAAGTGAGGCATCAGATTGAGATGAAACAAACTTTCATTCTCCCATCATGTGGAGTTTCTTGCCAACAGGACCTAGGGCTTGCCAACAGGACCTAGCAAAGCCAAGTATGCTAATGTCAGTGGTCCTCCCTTGCAGGCAGGAGACTTGGATTGCTGCAGTGCTTATACACATGTACAGTATAGGAAGGCACAGGCCTTTAAAGTGACCCCTCCTTCCCCACACAAATCTGCCCTGTGTTCTTTTTTTAACACTCTGGGACACTGAGTAGAAGGCCTGTAATTGGAGGAAACTGCTTTTTTTTTTTTCTCCTGACAGTACTTTAGAGACATTAGATTCATTATTTGAGGGTGTGTATGAGATTCTGGAAGTAGAATTTATGTCTGGTATGCTGTGAGATCTTTGGTATGATATTGACTCACTCATTGGCACCTGAGAGAGGCTTGGGGAATTCAGCAAGTTTTCAACAATCCAGTTTGAGAGATTAACAGAATTATAGCTCACTCAGGTTTGTTCTAATATTATTAAATTTTCACCATTTCTAATTGCATAAACATATGCAGCCAAGTATGCAGGTGGGGACTGGGATGAAGTACAAGGACACTCAGGCTCCATAGGCAGCTAATTGGTGGACTAAGCAATAGGGCACTTGGAAAGACTGGTATTTTTTCAGAACATTCTAGGATAAAATCCTGTCCCCACTTAAACTGAGTGGTTGTTGTGGGAAAGATTCGTTATTTATTTGTCTTGGACACTGGAAAAAAGATATAATGTCTCAAGACCATAGAACTTGCCTGATAAATATGGTGATAGCATGTTTTTGATCAGGGCTAAACACAAGACAAGCAATGGTTAACATTTTCAGATAATAGTAGGGCAAATAAGTAATTTTGTGTGAACATTGTTATTGTTAGCAAATGCCAAGCTGCAATGTTTACAGTGATATTTTATATTTTGTTTTATAAAATAAATCTGTTTTTTCTATGTATAGGAGAACTCTTGAGCCCCAAGTTAAAGTATGCTGTGGTAAAATGGCCTGGGTGTTTATGTGGGTACTTTCTCATGAAATAATATTGCTGCCCATATTTGTTAAGGGAATGCTGCTGTTGCCTTATTTTCTACAATCATAACAGAAAGAGGAGTAGGATGGAAATGTCTACACTCTGGGTTTTGCTCTGCAGTGTTCTTTATCTGATACAGCATCTGCACTATGAAATTCACCCCGAATGAATGGACACTCAGATGTCTTCACTTCCAGCAGAGAAGACACAACTCAGGCTGAATTAGGCCATTTGGAGAGGTTTACCAAAATCTCCATGGGTTAGAGACACAAAACTCTTCTTTCACACTGGTCTGGACTGAGCACTTGGTGAGTAAGTAAAAATTCACTTTTCCCTTTTGAAGAGTAGAATAAACTAAAGAAGTTGGTCACATATTTGGACTTGGACTTCCCAGCAAAGGTTTGCAAAATCCTCAAAAAAGTCAGAATATTTATCATGAACTATTTTCTAGCCCAAAAAACCAAAAAAACCCAAAAAAACCCAAGAGGGATTTAATAATGTTGGGATGAAGTTTTCTGTTAATGACTTAATTTTCTTTTTCCTCCTGTTTAGGCAGTAACATGTGAACTCTGACCACATCACCGGTGTGAAATTGCTGATTAACCTTTTGACTCTGGCAATTGGGACTTCTCTCAACACCAACTGGTAATGCAGAAGACCATTAGTAGTTAATATTGGGACATCCCGGCTCCAGATGTCAAAAGGTTAATGAAAAATCAAGTATCTTGCTTTTGCTGGGGAACTTGGAAACCTTCCCCCCAAAACAGTTCATTTTTTCTGATAAATAAGCCAGACTGCTTGAGCTGAGAAAGACGGGTGTTTTGCTAATGTGTACAGCTGTTAATTGAAAAAGATTTGGGTATGCTTGTTCTTCTGGATGTAGATAAAAGAGAGATTTGTTGGCAAACTTAGTTAGTCTTGAACACCCCTTTGTTCAAATACACTACATAATAATAACGCTTTGTTCTTTCTGTAACAGCCATGGAGGGATTTTGAGTGGAATACTCATTTTCTTTAAGTCATATCTGCCAGTAATCATTCCTGGCTTAAGACCAGCTGCCATTTATGTGTTTTATGAAAATATAACAGTTTTACACTCAAAACTATTTTCTTTTTAGGTAAAAGCTTCAGCACAAGCTGGTTCCCCATATCTACCATAAATGCTATTTATCACAGATTTTGGTCTTTATAACAGAAAGACAATGTTAAAACATTTTGATTACCCTTTCCTTGCTGCTATCATTCACAACCCATCTTTTCTAATTATGGTATTAGGACATTTACATAACCGGGAAAAGGGTCCTTTAACTACATTTCTATTATGTTTGGCACTTCTGTGAAAGGATATTATATTCATGTGCATTAGAGATTGCTTATAAAAGATCAAGACAATAATAGCAGATCAGACGATAAAGGTTCCCTTTTCTCCTCCCAGACAGGCTGTCTCTGACAGAAGAATACAGTTCATCAAAAGTGTCTGCAGGTTGTCAAACTCAGTGAGATTTGGGGACACTCGGAGGCTGTCATGGCCAACAAGAAGATTTTCTGTAGGGTTCTGCCATCATTCACCCTCAGGAAATAATCACTCACTACATTCTGTATGCTCTCATGATAGAGCTCTATTTGAGAGAAAAGAGCCATTTTATCAAAGGACAATATATCCCTTCTCTTGGTCCATGTAGCTTCCATTATCAGACCATAATAAATCATATTTATGTTCTCAGTTAATAAGACTGATTACAATGCAGGTTACAGGCATGGGAAAAGAAAATCAGGTGAAAAGATGTTTTAATGAAAATATGATAAGCAAACAGCTTCTTGTGAACATTTCAGGCTGTTATTTGTAATGATCACAGGCAATTTTTGATACATCTTCTTTAGCAATGGTTTAAGCTGCATAAATTGGCTTGCCACTTTATATGTTGAAATAGGAAGAATCCCAGTGCCCTTCTTATGTTGTCTAGAGTCATTATATACATTATAAGCATAAAATGAGTTTAATGTATGTGCTTTGAAAAGTAGGGGAAAACAGAAAATCAGGGAAGACTGATTTTAATGCTGCTCAGAATGATTTTGAAATTTTCTACTCATCTTTGTTACTAACGGTGCATTTTCCATGAAATTTAGGAATGACGTGTACTGCTTTCATCTCTCTAAAATTAATATACTGTGCTCTCTGTTTTTCTCAATTTCTTCAAAGTTCTTCTTAGAGCACTGTGCAAAGAGACAGAGAAATTCTCCACTCGAAGCATAAGCATATCTGCTGTTAATGTTGAGGGGAGTTAAGTGTCTGCTTCTACAGGAGAATACACCCCTGAAGTGTTCCTGAAGGCCACCCTTTCAAAATGGTGTAAGAATATTTAACTTTCCAATTGTGGGCCAACTTCCACAGAGTTTTTTTAAGTGATCAAGGCAGTTTTTTATTAGGATAAATATTATGATACGATTTCAATATATAAGTATATGGAGGGAAGTGGCTGGTGGACTGTCTTGCTGTCATCTTGTGAAAAGTCTTATTTTGCTATTATGTTCAGCATCATACTTTCAAGACCAAGTTAGAAATTTAAGGAATAATTTCCTCCTGCCAATACATAATTTTGACTGGATCTCTGAAATTCTACAGCACTTGCAGAGCAATGGTGACAAAGACTCCTTGGTGTTGTGTCTGCAGGACCTATTTTGCTCTCTGGTATTTGCCTAAAATAATTCTTAAACAAATTTTAAAGCTTTGTATTTGTCCTGGCCCTGGAGAATGGCCATAAGATTACCTTAACCCTTTTTGGACACTTCAAAAGAGCAGTACCCATATAAGAAACAGCAGACTGCTCTTCAAAGGCAATATCCTGATATGACAACAGATGTAGATAATGTACTTCATGATGGAACTGCTTGATACAGAGAAAAACACGTTGTAACTGCCTTCACCGTGAAAGGGGTTTAAAAACGCTGCCTGCCAACTCCACAAAAACCAGAGCTGCTATTTCGGTTAAAGGCCAGTGGATTGTATTTTTCACGTCAGTTTTCTAACCTCAAACATCACTGTTATGACAGACTGTCATCCAACCAAACCAGCATTCTGTTGCCATTCAAGCAAGCAGGAAAAAAGCAAACATGAAGGAAACTTAAAAGTCCAAATAGTAATTGGGGGGTGCATGTGAGTGAACTACTTTTGTGTAACAATACTGATTACTGAAAATGAAACACTTAAAAGAAAATAAACAAAAAGCAGAGCTTTCTGAGCCAGTGGTGTTTTCTTGGCTGGAAATTTCTCTTTGTTCTATTTCATGACACCAGGCTCAATGGTTGAAGGGGTGTTCTGGGCCAGATGTCAATCACAATGTCTGACATAAACAAAAATAGCTAAAAAGGCATGCCAGCATCTTCCTTTTGTTTTGCCATTAGCTCCATTTTTCTTTTCATAGGCTGACAAAAAATTACTGCCTCCAAGTGAATTCAGTAATGTCACTATATATCTAATATCTAGGAGACCTTTTGTTTTAGCTTTACTGGGCTTAACCACAAAAGACACTTGACATTGACAAAGAATCTGTCAAACATACAATGATCAGTGCAATGAAACCTCTCATGACAGAAGGGCACTATTCTGCCTCCCCCTTGCCTCCAGCAGCAGCCTGTCTGAGCAAAATATGCTGGAGCACATGTAGCAGCTGAACCATTACAGAGCAGGCCAGAAGCTGAGATGTGTCTTGTTTAAATTGTCATAGCATATTAGTATAATTAAAACTGCCAAAAGAGTAGAAAAGATAGATGGAAATGTTACATTACTTGTTTCTAGAGATTAACCCCCAGCCAGCACTGAAATAGAGAGACATGTTTTGGATTTCTTAGAGCTCTGATATGGAATAAAACAAGCCCAAGAGTACATCTCTCAAAGTGCGAGACATGAAGTCATAGTTCCTATATTTACACCAAAAAAAGCAGAAATAGTGTTTCAGACAGACACTCTGTTTCCTCTGTGATTACAGCTCCCGTTGTGGCTGTGCTCTGCAGAGCAGTTGTATCATCTCTCAGCTAATTCCTTTCCACTCTGCCTTTGTGCTTGCAAGGTCTTGCCACCTCCTGGGCTTGCTGATGAGCCGATGTCACCCCTCTTGGCCCTGTCCCCATCAGTGGCCGTGGCTGGTGTGCCAGGTACCCATCCCTGCAGCAGTACACGGTCACCATGGTCCGGCTCTGGGCCCCAGCACTGCCCAGCAGCAATGGTCAGGAACTCATCCTGCACAGGTTTCATCCTTTGGGCACGCCTGTCGCTGGGAAGAGAAACAAATGTCTGCTGGAAGCAGGCACAGATAGACCAGCCCTAAGATTGCTCTGGAATCCAGTTCCCTCATGCACAAGAGATCCAGAAAGGGAAGACTCAGACTGCTTTGCCTAAGCTGTTTCTGCTTCTCATTGCAAGGCAAGATGTTTGAACAATGGCTTCAATTTAAAATCTGACCTTTCAAATGCCAAGCTTTATGCTTGTTTCTGTGTTGAATGTATAGATAAAACATACGGCTTTCTAAAATTGACCCTGACAATAAGGTTCTCTTCATCAATGAGATGTTTTCCTTCCCATGCATCATTACCTCTCATAACTATTCAGGACAAACTAGTTATGATCCCAATTTATAATTATGCCCTGAGTTATATCTGCTGGTGAGAAAATTATTTAAAACCTTCTCTGTATTCATTCAGTTGTAGATGTTGGAATTCAATTTACCCAGAATCTGGGGAGGACTTGAACTGCATCCAGCCATTCTGAAAGAGAGAAGAAGCAGCACAACTGCCCTCTAACAAAAATGGTACATTCAAGGGGAAGCTTCAGGAATCAGGTAGGACTCGTTCATTTCTTCTAGTATTAATGAACTTCACAGCTTTGCCTCATTTGCTGACTTGCTTTAAGTAGGGAGATGTTAAATGTGAGCCTTTAATTTTAAGTTGTTCCATATTTCCAGAATTTCCAAAGTTTAAATCTTAGTTAATGACTTCTCCATATAGGACCTGTAGATGTGCAAAACTAGTAAAAAAATATGTTATCTGCATTTAGTGTTGGCTTTTGGGACCCTCACCGCCAAGTCACCTCTCTACTGCATCTCACCTCACATGCATTTCTGTGTAGTGCCAGGAGAGGAATGGAAAATAGCCATGAAGTAAAAGCAGATTCTGCTCCCATTAAAGGCAATGAAAACTGTGCTTTTACTTCTAGTTACTCATAATAGCGGAGAAAAATGAAGTGGAAACAAGCACAACAAAACACCTCTGCCAGCTATCTACAAGCTAACCAAGGCTTCCACTAATGAGGTGCTCTGGCATTTTAAGAAAGACAGGTTCTTCCAGAAATGGAAAAAATACGCTGAGTTTTTCCTCCAGTTCTGAAGGGCTAGTGAAAGAATAACAAATTGTATTTCAAAAAAGGGATGACAGTCAAACTTTTAATGCTGTCTGTGCTATGAAATACTTAAGGATGCCCATACAATTTCTTGTAAACTAAATGCTTTTATGTACATATTTGGCATCTTATTAAATATTAATACTTACATACCTCACCTAATTATTGACTGCATTTACAGGGTCCTTTAAGTGACCATAAAATTTTTGAGAAAATTAGTTATTTCAAATTACAATACTGGAGTCATTTTCAGGACAAATTTTCTAGACAAGTCTATACCATGGACAATCACATAGTCTATTAAACAGAACAGTACAGTTTGTGGAAAAGATAATACTCCAGATCATGAGATAGCACCAGATTTCACATTATGATTTCCAGATGTCTTTGTGAGCTTAATGCATACAGCATTGGTTTAAGTCTAATCTGCATGGCAGAAATGCAAGTTGTTCCAATTTTCTCTTCTCTGGGGCTGTGTGGAGAAACAGGAGGGCATTGTTCTGCTCCTTCGAAGAAAGCAGTTTACCTGAAGCACAGGGGAAAGTCACACCTAGCAGTGTCCACATCCTCATTGGGCTGCAGAAAGCTGGCAAATCTGCCCCTGACCTTTATCTCTCCACCTCAGCAGCCCTTTTTCTGCATGCTTGTCTCCACACGGTGTCTCAGTCACCCAAGACATTGGACAGAGCTGGCCTCCCTGTCCTGTCCCCTGCCCTAACCACTGGAAGCATCAACATTCTCTTTTGTTTAGAATGCTGAAAATATCTGAGTTACAGCAGCCTGTCACAGCTGTCAGTCTGTGACAGTCTGGTTCTATTATTCTAAGCAGTGTGTGTTGATTCTCTTGAAGGGAGAGAGAGGGTGGAATTTGGCAAACTGAACATCATATATACTCACTAGAAGCTCCTGGAGTGAGTGTCGTGCAACCAGAAGGCAGCTTCCCAGCTGTTTCCAGGGTGCAGCTTTGGAAACAAAGTTCCCTGAAGATCTGCTATAAAACAATGTATTGCATCAGTTTCCTGGAGGATTTACAGCACCTAGCAGGGCAGCCCAGCATCCTCCTGTGCTCAGAGGGGCACAGATGTCCAGAAGGTTCTGGTGGGTCACACGTAACTATAAACATGAAAAAGTATTTCCTCTGTTACATTCCTGCTGGAGAGCATTTCACTGGTACAGGTAGGTGGGTGGATAACAGTGCAAGGATATGACAGGACATTTGCTTTTCAATTCTAGCACTCTTGGGCTGGGAAGTGAAAAAGAGCTCTGCAAACAGAACAGGTGTCTGACATGACAGTGCAATGGGAAAGAAAGGCTCAAGGCTACTTTTTCTCTATGGAAATCTCTACCAAAAATTGTCAGTTTGGGGCTTTATGAACTTCTCTGTGGAATCAAATATTCAGTGTGAATTTACAGAGTGTGAGGAAGAAATATTTTGGCTCCTTCAATCCTGTGTACAATAACTCCCAGGGTTTCAGTGAGGATTTTAGCATTTCTTGCAGTCTTCAAATGTTATGCTGTGCAAGGATGTGCTTATACATAATTTTGTAATTGAAATGGCATGTTTACTGTTCTATTTCATGCTTGATTGTGTTTTTTAAACACCTTTACTCATGCTGTTAGAAGTGGGATTATAATTAAAATGTCCTGTTGAACACCTTGTTCAGTTCAATGAAGGCATAATAGAAGTATAAATACTTGTTCTCGTTGGCTCTGTGATGTCAGCACAACAAATGCAGCAAATGTCATAAAACAAATCTCTCTTTCACCAAAGCATCTGTCAGAAGGGAAGGGAAAATAGAATCTGTGACTGGGCAAAGAGGGGCCCTCCCCTTTGGAAAAAGGAAATACCTTGAGATGTTATCTGTGATATAGATGTATTAACTAAGGCATGAAATGATTGATTGATTGATTGATTGATTGATTGATTGATTGATTGAGCCAGTTATGAATCAAAAAAAATCAGAGGGGAATTTGTTCTTGTACTCACAGTCCGTTGGCCTAAAGACTAAGTAGCACTTTGTCCTGCACTTGCCATTAGGAAATGCTGAATCTGCCTGTGAAGTGTTAAGGAGCAACTTATATTTCTTAATATTCCTGTTTCCTTAAAATATATACAGATATGCAGTCTTCAGGTCTTGATGATGGAGTGGAACTGAAACATAAACGTCCAAGCATTTCTAAGTCAGCGTCCAGTGGCTTCAGAACTTCTGCATGGCAATAATGGTTTCATTTTCTTAGGGTTTTCTTTTACAGTCCAAGTTACCACCAATGATGTGATGTCTAACCTTTCTGGCAGGCACATGTTCAGTCTTAAGGAGCTTTAAATTACTTCACAGCTTGAAAATCCATGTAAGAAGGGATGTTCCAACATTTAGACTAATTGATGCTTTTTTGGGCAATTTACTTGGATACCTTGGCTCAGTTTCCTCCTCTGAAAAATGGGGAGAACAATGTCTGTCTTCCTTGTGCTCTTTGATGTAATAAAATTTTACTGTACTAAATACTAGGCTCAACACTGCACAAACCCCATGAGGTTTTGGGTTTGTGTCCTTTCAAAGGACACAAGAGGGCTCTTAAACCAATCCCAGGATGTGTAATATTTCTGTGCCAGAGCAGGACTTGCCAGTCAGTAGCTGCCCTATAGGAAAAGCCCAATGATCTTTATGAAGCAGGCAAATAAGCAGCTTTCCAAAGGGTGTGGAAATTGCCTTCTGTACCTAGTTTCATTTCAAACTACTTCAAGTGTAGCAGAAGTTGGACAGGCAGAGGGTTCACAGAATTTAATCTTTAGAATTAAAATGGTGAGCAAGTGACAAAGTAGGAGGTTTTTCCCCCTGGTATGAGAGAGGCAGGTGGGTATATAGGACAGTCCAGTCCAGACCAGAAAAAGACTCAGCAGCATCATGGACAAGGCTACAGAACACAGAACATGCAGGACAAAATGGACAAGAATGTTGTGAAATAGGATTCCAACAAAACTTAGTGTACTTGTTTGAATGTCTCATTATATGTACAGGTGCAGCTCTACACACCCACACATGCTGCATTTATTTCAGTGTGTGATCATATAAATGCCTGCAGGTGTGATACAGAAGAGATCCCCATGCTGAGGCATGAATATGGAGTTCCACATCTGTATTGGCTGCCTGGCTCACACAATGAGCTAGTGCAGTCAGTGAGTTCTATTTCCACCGCCTGTATGCACTTCAGAATTAAAAGCAAAGGAAAGTCCATCTTGGTAACTAAATTTTACAGGATGTTGTGGCATAGAACTAAAATATGTATATGGGACAGTCATCATTACCTCACTGTCTTGCACATTATATACAAAATTAGGACGAAACTAATTTCAGATAAAAATGGCCACATCAATTAAATGTATGGTAATAAATCCATGGCGTTGGAATTTAATGTGACTTTTGGGACACCTAAAACTTCAGCTGGGCTTCAGTGCAGTGGCTGGTTTCTCACTTCTGGCACACATAGAGATGGCTCCTTGTCTATAATACTGTCAGATAGTCCATAATACATGGGGTGAAAATTGTGGCTGCTGCAAAATCCTGCTTCTGAATCCACTGACTTGCTTACATGTAAAAAAGTCTCAGCCATGGCATTACACTTATGCAGCTGGTTACATTAAACAATGACATGATGCTAACTACTTGACTACAAACACCCTCCTTTCAGTGTCAAAAATGTAAAACAGCTAAGGGATATAAACTGGGGGCAACCTTTTGCATGTAATTGCTGCCTGCAGAGACTCAAGGTTGTCAAAGTTTCCTACCTTTTATAAGACCTTTAGTGATAACTTTTGTTTCCCAAGGAGAAAAATAAACCTACCAAAGCTCCTTTGAACATTTTAGCAGCCTTTCATAGTGTTAGCTGTGATAGTAATGGTGTCACCTTCCTAATAAGGATGTATACAAACTGTGTTTTAGGAGTCCCTGCTGCTTTCTTTGTGGAAATGATCTCAGATGCTTTGGGATTATTTGGCAGTAACTTCTTTTTGCACCATGATTTCACAAAGATCTTCTCTGTTATCTTCTCTTCAGCATATTCCTTTGAAGATCTAGGGAGAAAATGTGGTGCTTGAGCATTCAGTGAAGTCTGGTTTGCATCTCCATGTAGCTAAAGTCTGGGCTGTCCTGTGACAGAAAATGTGAAGGGACTATAGTGCCCGTCAGAATTCAGCAGAATTTTTACATAGTGTTGTCCAGGCAAAGGAATAATGAGAATATGGTCAATTGAGATTTCATAGGAAGCAAAGGAGGAAAGAAAGCACAATTTTTTTTCAGGACTGAATGTCATTGCTTTACCCAGAGGGACCCCTATGGCTGCCATCCACGGCTCACAATAGCAAATGTACTCTGTGCAGTGACATGGGCAAAGGGAACACAAGTGGCTGGGGCGGTGGTAGAAATAACACTGTGCTAATGAAGAGTTTTGTCCAGGCAAATTTAACCCACCCAGAATTAGCCTGGGTATCTCTCCATGACACATTTGTTTTAGAGTCACAGCATGTTGCAATTTTTAGGCTCTGGCAGGCTCCTATGTAGGAATTGTGTCCAAGAGCCTTTATTTCATCTGCTCCAATTGGGAAGAGCAGGGAAATTTCTTTTGGTTGAGACTTTGCTATAACGATCTGAGCTTTAGTCACTGTGAGACTGGCCCTCTGTAAAGCATTCACTTGGTGTTACAACCAGAGACAACTGAGCTCCAAAAGTGAGTACAGGCTGTGTCTACTTATTAAGTAAAGGAGCATGTGGAGAGCCCATTACTCAGTAATTGGTGCTTGCTGCCAGTTAGCATTCACCAGGACTTCCAGGATTTGTATAGACCTCACAGCCCAGAATGGCCTGGGATTGTTCTTGCCTTATTTGCTTCCACTATAATCAGCTGGTGGCTCCCTGCTTTGCAGAGCTACCAAAACCAGCTTGATAAGACTGAAAGGCACCTGGAAGTACAGGATGTCCCCAAGGAATCCATTGAGAGGGACATGCAGCTCTGAGAGATTTTGTGGCTAAGATTGTGTTCCAGTTTTGTGAGCTTGCAGGTTTCTCCCCCTGCCTTGGAAGAGGTAAATGATGACTGGGACTTGCGGTAGGTGATACAAATGCCTGCCTGATTGTGTAAAACACTGGATAGGTCTTTAAAGATGAGGCCCTCAAGTCAAGTGGCACGTGACTCTTTAGGTGAGACAAGCTGCACTTTATAGGGAGACTTGAGACACAGTGTGGTAAGTCTTTACAGAAAAGCCTATATAGACATTTGACAAAAGCACAGCTCTGTGGGGTACATGGCGCTCCCAGCTTTGCCGTGGGGAAGCCTTCTGTTGGCCATGTCCCAAGTGCTGCTGCTGCTCCCCAGGAGGCGGCTTGGTGAGGTTTGGATAGGTGTCCACAGCCCCTGGCAGGGCTGGCGGCCTCAAGCAGCCCACTCTGCTGCCCAGGAGCAGGTGGGCTCCGGGAATGCAGGGGAAGAAAGGGGCTCTTTCATACGCCTATTCCCTGCACTATTGCATTTATATATTTATTTACAGCATTGGCAGCGTTAGCCCCAGAGGCTGGCAATGTATGCAGACCAGCTGCTCTCTCCAAGCAGGCGGGCTCTGCCAACACCTGAGAAGTGAAAACCTGTCTGCGCCGCAGGTGAGACAGCAAATAACGCACGGTGCCGCCGCGGGAGTGCCGCCCGCCAGCGGGGCTGCCGCAGCCACGTCCGCTGCCCCCCGCGACGGCGGCTCGAGGCCCGGGGCCGGCTCAGAGCCCCCGGGGCCGGGCAGGGCCCATCGCGGCGCCCGGGCGGGCGGCGGCCCCGCCATCCCCGGCCCCGCGCGCCGTTCGCCTCAGCGCCCGCCAGGTGGCGCCCTTGCTCGCCGAGTGGCGTGAGGGCGGGCGGGCCCGAGAAACGCAGGGCGCCCACCCCCCTGCCCGCCCTGCAATTCCGGCAGCATTACAACCAAAGTGTTTTCAACTTATTATTATGCATGAGTAAAAATTCCATGAATGTGTAACATTTTCGCCTGTATTTCCCTCTTTTATAACATCATTTAAATTCCTTATTAATAATTTAGCAACGTTCTGGATTTTAATCACTTTTCTCATCCCCGCGGTCTCTACCCGAGGCAGCGCTCTCTTCCTCACCTGAAGGTGACATGGAGGCAGGGCTGGAGCCAGGGACACCCGCCCCAGATCCCTGTCCGGCTGCAGGGTATTCCCTTCATCAATTGGAAATCCAAAGTTTACCAAACCTAAAGCCTGAGTAGGTTACCATTAGTAAAAAATTAATTTTTTTATCTGAGTTTAATTATGGTGGTATTGGTTTGATAGCTTGTTACTGTAAATAAAAGAGATAAAAGGAGCCCTTCACTCGAGCAGCTTCAGAGTTGTGAAATATGTACCTAATTAAAACTATTGGTGTAAGAGGCTAATAAAGCACATGTGCCTACTAGATGTCTTATTCTAATGAATCTCGGCTAACTTACTCTGAGCGATGTATTTTGGTGTTGGTAGTAAGAGCTGAATAATTATGGAATTTATCATGAGGTGCTCATGAAGAACCACAGGGATCTGGGAGGATAAGGGAAGGAGCCCCAGCCATGGTCGGGTGCAGGAGGAGCGGAGCGCAGGCACAGGGGCTGCCTGCGGCCCCCGGGTGGCCGTGAGCCCCGGGCCGGGCCCCGCGGGCTGCAGGGAGGGGAGGGGAGGCATGAGACGGCCGGGTGCGGGCTGGGTGCGGGGGGAAAGAGCGCTCCCGCCGCCCCTGGGCGCTCCGCCCCAGCCAGCTCCTCACCCCCTGCTTTCCCTTGTTTTCGCCTGGCACGGGTGAGGAGCGGGCCACAGCATGCGCTCCTCAGACTCCCAAACCCAGTGCAGATGGGTTGTCTAAAGCATTTCAGATGGAGTTTTGGTCTTGTGCCAGCAGCTAATCAAAGTCTTAATTCTGGAGAATAAAAAGGCCGGGCTTTCCAAGCTTCCTCCAGCTGGTTTCTGCCGGGGATGTGGACGGCCGGCGCTGCTGAAAATCCTTTTGCTGTGCCGCTCCCAGCGCCACGGGCTGGATGCGGGGCTGGCACAGCTCTCGTTCCCCTGTGCAGCCAGGCTGGGCTTGAGGTCACTTACCTGGTCCGGCTGAAGGGGTCAGCTTTGCACAGGCCTGTAGACCGGCACCCTCAAATCCATGCCAGTCTGACCTATAGTGAAGTCAGACACGTGAAAATGTGTGTGTCGGGAACCCTTGTCTGAGATACGAGCTTTGCCCTTTGGAGGAGTACAGGCTTGTCAGGAGAAAGGGTATGTACTGAGAGAAGCGGGCAGTAATAAAGGGGCTGGTTAAGCAGAAAAAGAGCCCTCAGACTAGCACATATTTTTATTGCTTTTTTTGCAACAGAGCAGTGAAAACATCCCACGGCAAAATGTCTATTGTAGGCTTTGGTGTAGTCCCCAATAACAAGTATTTAAACGCTTGCACGTGTGCGTGTCCTGCCGGCACCCCCCATTAGCGGCACGGCGGGCGGCCCGTGGGTTGCGCACCGCGCTCTCCCATCGTAAGCTGGCACCCAGAAATTGTGTGGGGCCCCAGGCACGCCGTGCCTCGGCCCACGTGAAGCTGCGGGGCTTTGTGTACAGCCGAGCCATCTGGGCTCTGCTGTCTGTCCCGGAGTCAGAGCTGATGAGTTCAAATGACTCTCTGCAAGTGTGTGGTAGCTGCAGCTGCTGAAAGCGCTCCGGCAGTTTCTGATCTGCACATGAATTTGGAGGTTTTTTACAAGTGCTGCATCGGCAGTTTTTCTGCAGAATGAAATTTTCACTATTGCTAGTATCAGCTGGAGAGACGGGTGGAACTTGTTATCTTCCTTGCAAAATCTACCTTTTCACAGGGAAGAGATCGTTTTTCATGGTTGTACAATCTGTTAATGGTGTAGACTGAGAATGAGATAGGAAAGAACTAGTCTGTTTCTCTCTTTGTCCCTGACTTACTGTTTGACCTTAGTAAAGTCTGTTGGTCATTCTGGAAACCTGGTTTCTCTATCTGTAAAAAAAAAAAAAAAAAGGCAATAATAGCTATATCAAAAGAGACAGTCATCAATATCTAGAAGTGGCTGTAAAATTTCAGGTGAAAGTGTTATGTATTGTCACACAAACAGTGTCTGTTCCGCTTTCTCAGAGACCTGTAAAAATCTGGTTTTTCCTGCTGAGAGAATTTTTTCCATGTTGCTCAATCAAGGATCATTTTAATATATTTTTCTGCCTTTCAGATACATGTCAAATATTTGTGTCTGTACAATTTTCATGGTCTCATATCTTGTCTCTTTCTGTATAAAATATATGTTGTCAGCTGAGGGGAATGCTTTTTCTTTCAGTTTCTTTGTAATTACCAAAAATATTTTTAACCTGTTAAAATATTTTTGTGTTGCTGGCATAATGTGGTACGGTATTGAAACCTCATTACTTTGCAACAAACCTTCCTGTGCATTGTGTTTACCTTCTGGTAACATTTCTAATAAGAAACCATCACCAACAGAATGAAGGGGATACTTGCACTGTTGGGTCCAGTGTGACTTTGCATATGAAGATATGCAGAAGTAAATTACACTCTCATGTAGCTAAGAGAGAAATATAATCAAATTGTTTCTGCTGGCTTTTCTTCAAGGCAGAAAACCTGTGTGTGTTTTCTAGACAAGCCATATTTGTACTGTGGTCTGGGATCTGGCAGCAGGGATTCCTGTGCCCTGTGCAAAGTTACTTTGATTTCAGCATGACTCCACCAAGAGACCCCAGCACAGAGAACCACCCCATTTTAGAGGGCAGTGAGCTTGGGTCCTCCGCAAGGCCTAGATTGGAGGCGCTCTGAACTAAAGTTATGGGTAGAACCAGAGCAATAAGAGCCAAACTCAGTTCCTCTAACAAAGGCATCAAGGAAACTTTCCACCAAAAGCAGGTTTCCTAGATGCTGATAGCAGATGGCCCTCCCATCCCATCCCACAGGCTGAGGGTGTCCTGACATTCCACTCCCAGTGTAACTTGTTCTCACATCACAGAACTTCTGATTTTTTATTTTTAGTAAGCATGATTTGATGACCTAAGATAAGCATGCTTTTAAATTAATTTCAGGCATAAATTACTAATTCTGTTGTTCACATTCTCAGAGATGGTTAATATAATTTTGTTTTTCCTTTCACACCTAAGCAAAAATCTGACATTGATTTCATTCTTCTTGTAGTAGAGAGAGGAGTGTAACCATAACCAGAGATGAGCAGTACTGTCTGAATGTGCCTTGCAATCTCTGTTTTTGTTTGATGAATTGATGTTCATTTTGATTTTTTGTGCTGTACCCATATCCATTGCCTTTATTTTGCATTTTCCCGGCTTTACCTTGGTTCTGTGAAGCCAGACACCTGACATTGGTAGTCATGTTTTTAAGATTATCTGCTCGGAACATCTCAGAGAAGTCTATTTTCACTATTTTGCACATCTGAAAGAACAGCTTGGGACTGAATGAGCTCTTGCCTGGACAAGTGTGTGAAGAGAATTGCTCTAGATTGGTACTGCAGAAGGGAGCTGTTTGTGAATGGACTCGGATGCATGGAGGTCTGAGAATGATAAATGCAAGGCTTCATCCCTCTGGGTCAGTGGTCTGTGGGTCAAGACAGAGAGGAGACAGGAGTTGAGGAGACACTGCTGTCTTGGAGTCTGTATTTCAGGTCACAGTCTTGTCAGGTCAACAAAAGTCACACAATGTGAATGGTGCCAAAGCAGACTTGGTGGCTGTGCATGAATATTTATCCTCTGTCTTTTTATTATGAACTCCATTTTGCATTCTGACAGAGCTGTCATTACGCACCTTTTTTGAAGACCTACTAGGAAAAAAACCCCAAATGTGCTTTGTTTTGTAGTACCCTAGGCAACGAGCCAAAATGTAGGTCTGAGGAAACCTTTGTGTCATCCTCTTCCTGGAATTTTCGTCCAGATCTGTGTTGTACTGGATCCGGCCCTTTCCAGCTGAGCTGTGGTGACCCTAGACATTGTCCTGAGATATGTTTTGGGGCTGCTCTCTGGGCTCTGGTGCTACTTGCAGCAGCTCTTGAATATCTTCAGCTGATCATCAGTTGGAGGTTATGGATGGTGCTTGACCCCTGACTTGTCTCACACCCTTGTTTTAGACCCTGGTGCTGACTGGTGGCCCAGACTGCCTTTCCCCATTCCCTTGAGTTTATAGATAGTTCTTTGGCATGTATCCAAACTTAATGCAGCATAGAGGGAAAGGTCTTCAGGTTTGCAGAGTGTGTACACACATGGTCAAAGCCCCAGCTCATTAAATTAGTATGTGCAGTGGAGAGCAGCTACTGATTTATGTTTTCATCTACGCAAGGTAAATTGGATTGAAACTTCACACTGTTTAAAAAGGAGAGCTGAGATTCTTGCTTACCTTTGAGTTCTAAATTAGCAGGCACATGGCTAAGCTTCATGGACCTGAAGAAGCTGGTTCTGAGTTAATATGATGCCCATACTGTTGATTTCACTGGAGCCTTTTGTATCAGAAACCACATGTACACAGCCTCACATTGTGAAGCAAGATTAATTTAGCTGTTGGCAAATCATGTGCTGTATAAGAATGTTCTGTGAATGACTTTTATTGCAAATTCTACTGCTTAATTTTTGCAATGCAAAGTACCAGTAACAGGAACTACTGGTTTCAGCTGAACTTTACAGAAATGTGACTGACAGGCAGCCAAAATAAGGAGATAAATGGTGGAAAACTAAACAACATAAGGCCCACTGAGTCAGATACTAAGGGCCTCAATATAAATGCTAACATGGAAGATGAAGTTAATGGCAAAAGTTTTAGAGCTTCAGACCCCCTAAAAATACAGAAGGCATGGCCTCTAAACAAAATGTGTATTTGTGATTCTCAGCTATAATTATAAGGAGCCACACAGGGGTGACTACTGAGAATATTTCCATGTTTCAGTTTAATATGTTATTTTAATGTTTCTAAATCTCTCCACTTTTAGAACCAAAATTCTTGTTCTCTCTCTCTTTGAATTGTTGTAGGAGTAGTAGAAGTGAAACAAACTTCCCATGATCTACCTGCCTTGAAGAACAGAACCACTCTGGTAGGAGTAAATTTTTGGTATGGAAACTTAGTTTTTGGTGTGCTTCCTAACTCTACCAATTCAATACCCTTGATGCAAATGTTCCTTACTCTTATCAGTGAGATGGAGAAAGATGACATTTTCTTCCTGTCTGTATTGCTGATGATAACTTTTCCCTTGAGTTTTATTCAGCCTTAAGATTGTATTGGTTCCAGTCTTCATGGTTATGTGTTCACCTACTCCAAACAAATATCTTCACCAGTGCCTTCAGACACCCTTTACTAGTCGAAAACCACACCACATTTTGCTGCTTGCTCTGGTCCCTCCCCATATCTGTGCCATCGGAAGAGGCCAAGCAAGCATTCCCTAATGCATTACAAGTAAAGCCAGCCTGGTTAGCTCATATCCATGTTCATCACCAGGTGAAATGACTCTGGCTGCCTTAGCTTAAACAGATTAGGTGATTTGTGATCCCTTTTGCTAATGGAGCAGTACGTTGGGTTCTTGCAAGACAGCAATAAGTGCTATAAACAGTGCTGTCATCTCCCACAGGAGCTTTCCTATAGTCTCAGGTTTTCACAGCACTCCCATCCTTGAACCCAGTATTGCACCCCTCAACTTCCATATTTTTTCTATGGATGTTGCCTTTATTTTTACCTTAGCTGCCAGAACTAAAGATATATTTTGACTTTTTAAATGAGTCTTCTCTGTTCAGCTTGCTCTGTCTGTCTTTTTTAATTAAACTGGGGTCTTCATATTAGACTCCTTCAGTTCATCTCTTCCAGTTTCAGCTCTTACTTTCCATTTGCCTTCATTATACTTTGCCATCCTTGAACTGCACTGAACTCTTCCTCATTTCACATCTTCCCATACAATATTCAGATCTGCTATTCCTCTGTCTAATTTTACCATGGCTGATGTGAAAATCATCTTTGCTAGAGAAGCAGCAGTGAGGAGACAAACCTTTCTTCTCTTTTCCACATTCGTTCTCACTCTTACATAAAATCCTGGCTGAAAAAAGGGCATTCTCTTCTGTGATCATAACTTCACATTCCTCTTTTTCCTGCTACTCTTCCATTTGGAAAACATTTTGATACATTCTCATCCATGAAAACTATACTGTTTATGTTTGCAATTTTTCAATGTGCTTGGTGTTGGTGTTTTTCAGATGAACGGTGTATTAAGATTTAATCTGAGCCTAGTCAGATAATATTGACTTGCAATGAAAAAGCTGTATGAATGAGATAGCAGCAGACAGCTAAAAGTGCTGAATGCCAATTGCTGACTGAAAAATGATACCCAGAATTTGGTGGTGGAGAGTAGATGGGACATTTATGAATGGAAAACCTTTCTGATTGCTTAAATGTTGTGATTTTTTTTCCTAAGTTTCTCTGTTTTTTCCAGTGTTTGCCAAAATTTGCCTGTGCCTGTAGGGTGGTACAGCTGCAAGCTTCCAGGAGGTGCTTATCCCTCTGCAGGCTACCACGTCCTGATATCAGCTCAAAGGCCTCTCTGTTTTGCCACAGTAGACTTCCTCAAAATTAAAATAAAGAACTGAATCTAAGACTATGGATTCCTGATGCATCTCTGTGTCCCCATTTCAGCTATATTTCCCACTGTTCACTGTTAGCAGTCATCAGGAAACATGCATTTTGGCTCCAAAATCAGGATCTCCTGAAAGAAATCCCTAGGTGTTACAGAATTGCCACATTGTGTTAGGGCCACAAACAATGAGTTAGTTCTTGCCCAAAGCAGCTTTTAATCCAGGTCATGTATATGGAAGAGAGGCAAGGGAAGCTGATTCTACATATATCTGAGGTGCCTGGGTAAAATGTGGTGAATTGTTGTAGCAAATACATTCTAAACCCTCCCCTTCAGTTTTTCACAAATTCCAAATGTGGATGCTGCTCTAAATTAGAAGAAACAATTAAAATGCCTTTCTGAATGCATTTGAAATGCATAAGTTACTGTAATTTCCCTGGGCAAGCCAGCTCTTTGGAGGGGGCAAAAGTTGCAAATGGAAAAACAAACAAACAAATGAGTGAGTAACTGGGATGTGCTGCCAAAACATCAGAAACAAGCGTGGTAGAAGGGGGAGGGAAAGGCTCTTGTCTGCCCTGGGACAATTTGTAGAAACTAAAATGTGGGAGGGAGTTGAAATGAACAGGAGAAAAAAATTCCACTGCCTTTTTTTTTTTTTTATCCAGATAATCATGTTAGCAGGACCCACGATGCTATGAAAGATGACTGACTTCAGGCCTTTGAAAAAGAAAATAGAAATTTCCAATTTTGTGGTTCAGGTTTTTCCTTTACAGGGAAAGGGAAACTAGGAGGTGAGTGCTTTGGTTGCAGCTGTAAAGGGGAAGACTGAATAACAGTGCCAGATGCCCCAAATTAACAGTGAGTGAGAAAAGGCTGACTGTCTTTCTTGCCTTCCAAATCTCAGACCAGCGAGAAAGGGAGCCATGGTTTAGGTCAGTGTGCAGGTACAGAGCATGCTTCACCTGCCATGAACTGGGGATGGGGAAGCAAAGGCAAGAGTGCTGCAGAGCTGCTGATTGCCTGCTCTCTGAAGGCTTCCTGTTAGGGAGAATCCTTGGGATCAGAGCTGCTCAGAGCTGCTGAGGCATGCAGAGGAGCTGCAGATGGGGCTGAGTGTGCCTGGATACTTCTCTGCTCAGCCACCAGTTACAGCATTATCAAATGCTCACTAGAGGTGCGTACCTGCTAGAAGGGCTGAAGGCAAAGCAGGAGGTCTGCTTTTAATGAAAAGGTAGTTTACACACAGCATTTTTCTTATAATGGTAAAATGGATATGAAACAGTTACGCTCCAGACCCTTACTTTTTTTTTTTTTAAGAGCTTTCTTTTTTCAGAACATTGAAAACAAAACAAGCAAAAAGAGGGGAGGGAACAAAAAAGGAGAAAGAAAACTCCCTTCAGACAACAATCACCTTTTGAGTTAAATTCTCATGCTTGGTCTTAGCCCAGAGGGATTTGTCTTGAGTGAAGTTCGAAGAAAATCCTTTCAGCAGTTTCTGAGTTACTTAAATGTAACCATGGAAGTTTGGATTCAGGTGCCTTTTTTTACTTATATAACTCAAAAATAGCTTTGCTTTAAAACTTTTAAATTAACCCCCCTTAACTTTTCAACTTGTCACCTATCCTACTGTATGGCTTATAAAATTTTAAAGCTAATAGTATAACAAACTCAAATAATGATACTGCAGATGTTCAAATGAATCTTGGGGGAAATAAATTATAGGAGTTGCAGTGGGTTGCTACTGAAGAAAGGGCGGCTGCATGCCTTAAACCATGTGTTCTTTCTGGTCTGAAAAAGGCTCAATTTTTTTCTGCTGTTAAGAAGCGTAAGTGTCCTGGGTGTGGACTTTAATACTTGGTTATACATACAAAATTAAGCATATAAGTCCTGTTCCTTTTTTTCCTCCTGATAGCCCCGATTTAGACTTGTCAAAACATTTTCTTAAATTTTCCTGCTCTCTTTTTAACACAATCCCAATCAGTAGGCCACTTAAATGTCTCCTAAATATTTATGGACTTCAAAGTTACTGAAATGCTTTGTGATTCTCTTACTGTTATTATTTTATTGCCAGCAGATTGAGGCAATAAGAGGTGAAGTGTCTTGGTAAGTAATGTTTTTTTTTCCATTTTCTTTGTCCAATCCTCCTGTTGCTCTCTGATGTTTCTTCCTCTTTGTCTTCTTTCCAACATTTCTGCCTCACTTACTAGTCCCATTCTCACTGTCTCCTATCTATCTTTCAACCATCTTTCTCCATTTATTCTTCTCCAACAATTGCACTGAAGAGAGCCCATGATAGAAATTATTTTTACTTTGGCAGCCACTTTTTACTTTTATCTTTTCCCTGAATGTCTGGGATGGGTCCAGGCAGCTCTCCCCACTTTCATCATCTCTCTTCACATCCCTCGTGACCCTGAGCTCTAGTCAGCAATCTGATGTCTGCCATGAGAGCAGCTCCCATTATCCAAAGCCACAATCAGACTAAGGTGTTGTAACGCTGTGTGTTGCTTTACTTACCACGCTTGCTCTGCTACTTTCTAGGAACTGCACACCTGTGCCAGGTTTTTCTCACAGAATAATAATGACAGCGCTGTCGCCTTTTGCACGTCTCTCCTCCTTGCTCCTGTGCCCATCTTCCTCTGCTGAGCTTTGTGGTTCAGTCTCCTGGCTGGTGCAGTTTAGCCAGGATATGGGAGACTTGTATTTAGGCTCTGCCTGAGGCAATTTGAACTTGAATCTCTTGCCCCTTGGATTTGCACCCTACCCAAGAGATTATCAACTCTTCTGCGAGGAGGGTGACCTGAGCCCTTTCTTTGAGTGGGAAAGCTTGAGCTTGACTTTTCAGTCTTGTACTGGAGACGCTCGCCTGGGTGGGGAAACCACGTCTGCCAGGGCCTGCCCCAGTCAATGCTTAAATCCAAGTATGGAGGTATTCCCTGGAAGACAGTAGCAAACCCCAGGTTTCTTGCTTTCAGTAGTGCTTTGACAACAACCACACAGAACAATCAATTTACTCCATTTAATTATTCCATACGAGCTGGAACAGCTCAAACAGGATGGACCGGAGAAAGACCCTGCTCAACAAGATCCCTTTAGAACTGGGCTGAGCTCGCTGGGCTGCCATGGGTCAGTTCCCTCATACCCCAGAGCAGCCATGGAGCTGCCTCAGCACCACTGAGTTGACAAGGGACTGGGGACTGAGGACGTGTGGAGACTGGAGGGGAGGGAAGGGAAGTGGGCTCCTCCACTCTGTTACCCATGCTGGCAGGTTTGTGGCTGTAGCTGAAATACACATCTGCCAGTGCTGCCTCAGTTACCACTCTGGACAGGAGTGGCAGCAAAGGTGTGGTGGAGGGAAAAGAATTCTATTAAAAGACAGGGCAGCACGCTGGAGCATTACAAGGCAAATTGCTTTTAAAGGTGGAAATACAATAAAAATAGACTAAAGTGTCTTAAAATACAAAATCAATGCCAAAACAGAGAAAGCCAGAATGACTTCCAGAACTCAGCTATAGGCAGTTGTCCCCCAGTATAAGCCAGATACTGTCGGTGTGTGGGAGACATCCAGGAATTTTCTCTCCTACAAAAATATTAGGGACATTATATGTTTAACTGTAATGGAAAACTAGAGCTCTAGTGCTCAGTTCCAAAGAAGAGCACTAACTATTAGAAGTGATGTGGTACAGGGTGTGTGTGTGTGTGTGTGTGGCTGCTCCTTTTCTCCTCAAGATTCTATAGCTTCCTTCATTCTTCGCTTCTCTCATATTACAGAAAGAAGGTAATTTTTCCTGGCCATTTACTAAAGCTCATTAAAGACTGAAGAGAACAAACAATGCTATTCCTTAGAGACTACCATTCAAAGTCATTCTACAATTCTCTGTTCTAATACTTGAGACAAATTAATTATTCCTTAGTGAAAAGTGTATAATTTCTATTCTTCATTTTTGGGGTGGGGAGTGGGGAATAATAATAGGAAGTTTATATCTGAGTCAAAAGCTGTCTGAGCTGAAGGGAAATGAGAAAAAATGTGTGTTCCAAGAAGAGTAAAAGCAATTACTCTAATAATAATTCTAGGGATATTAATGTCTTTTTAAAGTAAATTGCTTTCAAATAAACACCAAAGTTGAAGGCATAGGAAAGGCTGGTTTATTTATTAATCATTCCAAAAGTGCATTTTTCTAAATGAACAAGTGCATGAGCAACTTCGCTGGCACATATTAAATTTAGTTAAACGGCAACTTGTAAATATCTAAAAACTTCTGTAACCAGAGACTAATTTGTTTAACGTGTTGAAAATGTTCTGTGGATGTGAGGAGCTACATATTAAACTTCAAAGCAAAATGCTCCAGAGATTACACCATCTTAAAGACTGCATATTGGAAAGGCCTTTATACATTAAACATAAAGGACTTTTAATTCTCTTCTATTTTGAATACTTGTCAATCTGTGTGACTCATGCTTAAGATTGTAAACTATCATTTTAAGGTGTGATGTCCAAGTTGGGACCTGGACCATGATTTGCAAGGGGCTGGCTTTTCTCTTTCATCTCTATTAATTAATCCTGTTTCAGTTTGCCCGGCGTACACTTCTGTTGACATCACCTTTTCCATATACTTTAAAGAGTCCCCAGAGAGATCTAGTGCAGAACAAAAACTGGACAGAGAATACATTTGGAAACCATTTTATTTCTCAATTACCAACCAAAACGTATGGAAAAGATTTACACTCTATCTGATTTACACAATAATTATACTTTGAAAGCTTAGAAATAAATGGCTTGATCCCTGAAATCATTAGTTACTATACCAAATGTAATTGGTGTAAACTAATGAGTTTACTGGATGGCTGACCCTTAATTACTGATTATAGTTAAACTCTAGCCAATCAAAATTTCGTTCACTTATAAAAGTAAAGTGTAGTATTAACAAGCATTACATTTCCAAGCAAGCAGCTTTATGATTAGTTGTAGCACACAACTCAAGCCTGTTCAGGGCTATCAAAAGCAGCTTTTTAATAACAGTGCACTAAGCAACCATCATTCTCTTACCTCAGCTTCTATCAGACAAACAGAAAGAAACCACATAATTAATCATCTCATGCAATAGAAATAAAGCATCTGGGCCAGATCCAGGTGGGATATACACCGCCTCCTTAGTTCAAAGAGCTGCAGGAGGCTGGGGATCTGCCTTAGGATAGGATAACTGACAAGGGGAATTCTGGCTCTCTTGGGGGAGCAGCATGGGGTATGGAAATGAAATACTGATTGATTGTGTGCAGTCCCATGTGATGTGGAGAAACCTATCAACAAAATAGGTTTAATAATTCCTTAAACTGAGGAGGATTTCTTGGGCAGATTCAGTATGTGGTGATAGGACATACGATTACTGTACTGGCCATCCCAAAAATCCAGAAGCCATGGCTCCTCACTATTGATAAGATCAAATGGAGAATATTTTTTTAAATGAAATACTAAATGGGAACAAATTATTTTCATTTGTCTCTGGTTGATCTTTAGGAACTTATGTTTTGCCTAACCAGGAAGACTCAAAATTGCTACTAAAAGAGTTGAAAGCAGATTCCTATTTAGATCATGATTCTGGAGTTGGAACTTTAAACAGTACATCAAATATTTTAATAAAATCATAAAACTTTGCAATGCTTACACTCACATCCTTAAAGGTACTTAGGTAAATGACTCCAGTGATTTAAGAATGTGGAAATTCTCCATCTCCGAGATCATTCCTGTGAGTCCTAAACTTCAGATAGGAGATTGATACCAGAAGTCACAAGCAGAAGATCAGGGGCTATGGAAGGATATGTATTTGCTGGAGCTCTGCACTGTGTGATGACCCAACAGCTGCAAGGGTGTGAGGTCTGTTGGGTCAATTCTGTCATGATTGCAGGTCTCTCCTATTTCTGTTCTTCTCTATGAACCTTACCTGATGGCCCTTTGGAACAGGTACTGTAACACTTGCCCACTTGTTAGTATAAACATTTTCTTAAAACTCAGAAATTTAAGAATGAAGTAGTTCTCAGAATATCTGCACATGGGTTAAAGTGAAATTTTTATATTTACTGAACTCCTGTTTGTGAGATGTGTCTGGGGTCAAGAAAAGGTTAAAGTTGTTTACTGCCTTCAAGCTCTGGTCTTAGAAGTTAATTCAGAACTGTGCTTTGAGCAGCTACAGACAGTAGTAAGTCCTCTCAGCAGTGAATTGCTGGTTTGATGTCAAGGTCCTTGGGCCTTAATCATAAAATTAGTTTGTTTCTTAAGGAAACCCTAGCAGGGACTTTATGATTATATAAAGTCATTATACTATTTTACAACACAAATTTAAAGATGCTTCAGAATGATCAGAGTTTGTAGGAAGGGATCATGTTTTTTATTATTTGTGGAATATCCTCAAGCTGTCATAGCTACAGCACTGCCACTTGGAATAGCTGCTCCACAGTTCAAAAGAAAAGACAAAGGATTTGTTGAAGCCTAAGTCAGGCAATTAGGGCATATCTGTCCAGAGAAAGCTCATTGAATTGAATGGATTCCATGTACTTCCTGACAACTGACTCCAGTTTTGTAGGAGCTGTATATTTGGGGCAATCAAGGTGTTTTATTACAATTCCACAAGAGCAGATAGAGGGCCTATGAAGCTCTACAAGTGCTGCTTTTCACAGTTCTCTGTTGGAGAATTCAGGGGTGAGTAATTTTGAAAGTCATGGAGAAAGAAGCAGGCAAATTTTCCAAAACCTCGAGAGATCCTGTGAATGCAAGGACAAAGGAGACACTAGACTACACAAAAACTTTCCCATCCACCCTCTGCACAGCAGCGCTGGTAAGAACAATCCTGCCATTTCTGATTTGCTAACACTGAGACAACACCCTCCAATGCAGAAGGGGGACAAGGAACCATTGATGTAGGAGGAGGGGAACACACCACAGACAGGTTCACTGTCCCCAGCCTGCCATCCCTGTGGCATGGGGGAAAGGGCAGGCTTCTGCAATGACTGGTGCAACAAGCACCAAAGGGCCCCACTCCTCCTTTCCTGTGAACCCTGCATAACTCTTTCTGTGGAAGAAAGCATCAAGCCCCATCTTGTTCATGGAAATACAGCATATTTGAAAGCCATAGTTAATGGATAAACTGTTTTCTGATTGGATGAGCCACACAATAAATCTCTTCCCAAGCCAAGTGCAATGCAGCTTACTCAGTTACAGTGAAATGAGCCACTGTCACTTTGCTGCACTTGCATACATCAGGCAAAATGCTTCTATCTTCATCAGTCTCTTAGTGAAATAGAAATAAAACCATTTTAACAGAATGGTGTCACTGGATCTGTGGCACCTGCTTTAAAAATAAATCTCTTAGCTTTGTCTTCACTATTACTTTCAATAAATGTCCTAGCATTGCCACAGCATTTATCTAGCAGCAGGAAACCATTATCCTATGACAACAATCTATTCCATTAACATTAGCTCTTAATTGTAAGATTGTTTATAAGACAGAAAAAGCTACGGAATCATACTAGAATGATAAAAAGAGTTATGGTCATGGAGTATAGTAGTCCCTCCAGTTATGAAAAATAACCTAAGAGTAGAAAGCTATATTTTATATTAAAAATAATGTAATATTGTTACACAATATATTTTAAAATAATTTATTACATCAGGAAGGTAGCTATTAAAGAGTTAATTTTAAAAACTGTTACTAAGAAACTCTTTCTTTGATAAGAGTATGGCTGAAAAATGAAATAGAAAGCTTTGAAACCCTTCCTCTTGCTTTTAGCAATGCTGCACTGAGCCAGAGAAATCATAACAACAAAAATATATTTGTCTGGTGGAGAGAACAGAAGAAATGTTGCAGAATTGAGATACCAAGAACCTCACTGCAGAATAGAAGGAGAACTGTCATTCTGATTGTTTGTCATTATTGTTTCATGTCCAGTTAAGTGAACTTAAAGTGACAGTTGTGTCATAACTGCTGGCATCTATGTAAATTTCAAATCAAATATGATAGAGGCATTTCTGCCAGACAGAAGTCACCAGGCTGCTCTTCCTCTTCGTTTTTGTAACCCTCCATTTTCTCATGCCATGGCTGGTAGCCCTTAAATTGAAAAGACAACTTCAACACGGGATCACTGTGTTGTGTGTGTTTCAGTGCTTGGCCTGTACCTTGCTTTCTCTCAGCTTTTTGAAACAATGCCCCAGTGTCAAATTTCCACCAGAAACTGTCACCACAAACACCTAGATGGATTAGCTAAACCTGTGCCTACCCATTAATGATGTATCATACAACAAGAGCCTGCGAAGTTCCAGGTTGAGAATGTCCCCTGAAGACCTACAGAGAAAACAGCTCGAGCAAATGTTCCTCCATTGGTTTACTGCAGCCCAAGACAGACATCTCTGTGGATAGGAGCAAAATAGGCAGAAAACATCGGTCATGGACCTTTCTGTGCATTACAGCATTGTTCAGAGATCATGGGAACTTCATAAAGTTATCAGACATACTCCTCCACTGCAATGAGCTACATGTAAATAATTAATTTCTTGGATACACTCAGACAGATATTCTAATTACACAGGATTTGCTACTGGACACATATCTTTGAAAATAATTCCAATGCAATTATAAAGGTATTTTGTGTGGACAACACCATGAAAAAATATTAAACGTGCTATTTATTCATTCAAGGATAATATACTATTTTTCCTGCATATTTATAGTTACTTGGGTAATTAATTAGATAATACATGCTAGAGTTAAGTTTTCATTTTTCATTGCAACACATTGCATAAATGACAATGTTATAAATATGTACCTCTGCATTAGGTAAGTGCATTTTGGTCAGCTGATTGAGTCAGATTTTTATTTTTGTAATTCCTTTCTAGTTGATCTTTTTTGTACTGTGAATTTAAATTAGCTTGGTGACTTTACCTACAATTTGGGCCTTCCAAACAGACCAAATTGTGCTTTCCCACCCTTTCATATGTTACAGTGACTAGTGAAGAGAGGCAACATATTAATGCCAGTCCTATAAAAGTATCTGTGAAGAAAACACTTTTTTACCCCAAAGGGTAAGTTCTGTATGAGTTTATATTAGGTATTTGTCAAAGGACTTTTTTCCCTGTTAAAGATGGAGACATATGAATCATGAAAATATTCATATTTGAGACAAAATATCACTAGATATGTCACCACAAAAATCAATTGTCAGTATATGTTTAAGAGTAGCAAATCCGTGTTAACTGATTTGCCATAAAAATTCCTATAGACTGTGGAATGTAAAGCCCTCTTTCAAAATTCACATAGTATTTCCAATTTTTTTTAATGTAGTGAGTGAACTTGTTATTACACACACATATTCTAGAGGCCTTTCAAGAGTTTTAATTTTAAACAAAAATTATATGTTATGTCAAAGTCTGATATCTTTCCTGTAGTCACAGGACCCACTTGCAGAACTTGCTTCTGCTGCTGGCTTGTGGCAATGTATCAATTTCTCCAGACAGAAATGTGCACAGGACAAATTGGTGAAGTCATTTCAGCCACATGACGTCATTATAAACACAGCCTTAGCTCTTCCAAAAGTGGACTTTATTGTTAATATTAATATATATCTGTAATTGCTGACATTTAGATTATTTGGCTCCTGTCCTAAGTTATAGATACAGTGATGATAAAAGGTCTTGCAAGCCCTTACCTAAGCAAACTGTGCTTACTAATTACCTCCCATGGTTCTGGGTTCCTGTAAATAAAGTTACTCATATATTTATAAGCAAGTCAAAATCTATACACATATTTCTAAACGTAACTGATCTTACTCTTTTGGGCAAACAGAACTGTCTACTGCTTCGAAAAGAATGCTAAGAGTGAAGGCATCCAGGATTCCTCCCAGCTTCTGCCAGGATGTGACTCTGCCATCTCACTGAATATCCAAATACTTAAATACTTTATCCAGTCACATTTTTAAATTGATTGAGGCCTGAACCAGAAGATCCTATGTGAGTAAAAGGATGCATTACTTTTAAGTAAGGAATGGCTGTTGATTTTTTATCACTGTTTCTGGACAGACTGGGGTCAGAGGGTTTGTTTTAGAAGTTTGTTTGTTCAAAAGGTGTAGCTTGCAAGACACGTGGATCAGGAAAGTGCCACATGGAAGATGTCAAAGCAGCAGCCTCAACACTTCTCCTTAATGTGAAAAGGAAAAGGAAGTCCCTGAGGTATGCACTATTCAGGGAGAGAACCCAGAGCTCCCATAGGGATGCAGTATTTAGGGAGAGAACCAAGACTCTTCCTCTGAATGGAGAGACAAGTGATGAATTCTGGACTGCCTGGTATCCTAGGGGCACATCTCACTTTAAGAATTATTTGGATCCCAGGCTGTAACATTTTCCAGACATTCAGATTGCAACTACTAAGCCAGCAATTTTATGCTTTCCCTTCCCTGACTCCAAGAGCACCGCAATATAAGCAGCCAGATTTTCTTCTGCATTGTGTTTTTTATCCATTCAGCCAAAATTAACAGTCTTCTAGGATAACGTATGCCAAGTGAATTTAAATCTTGTGGACTCAAATCGACCTAAAGTTGATGGATACATTCATGCCTACTGCTGAAATCTACCAATTACACAGAACTATGTTAACTTACCATAGAAACATCTCATCTAATAGCACAGATGATGTTGAACTAACTAATTACATTATGGCACATAGACAATGAAAAACATAACGAAGATGACAGCACAGCAACAGCAGATGCTGCACAAAAGAAAAATTAGAAAAATATTGCTCTGCAAAATGCTCTCAGTTAAGGTTTCCTCTGTTAAAATTAATCACAAAAATTAGTGATGATCAGATTTCAGAAAAAGATATGAACATTGTAATGCAATTTGGAAAACATCATTAAGCCATTTAAAACTGCTCCTTGAGAAGGTAATTCCTGTTTTTTGTATCACCCTCATTTTTAAGACTAGTAAACATTTTAGTGCCTATGGCAGAGTTTCTTGGTAGAATATCTTTTCCAATAAGGAGAGGTCCTAATGGCTCTCCCAGAGTCTGAATTTGGTAGCTTCCAGCCATTACAGGCTTAGATAATTAGACAATGTAGATTTTATTTGAGCTTGGCATTTGCTCTGTTCTTGTGCTCTTAACTGTCAGAGAGCTAAAATATCAGTGATTGTTGATTATCTGTAGCATGCCTTGTTGCTTTATATATTTTAAATTGTACCAGATCCTACATAACAAATCTAAAACTGCTGAGTATGTTTAAATGTAATATGTACATGGAGATTACATCCAGATGATATATTTCTAGACCTATGCTAAAAAAAATTAACCACAGCACCGATCCTCTCAGCACCGATCCTCTCCCCTTTCCCTGTGGAAGCTTTCCATGAATTCCCAAGTCTGAATGAATCCCAAGTCTGCTTTAAGCAGACTCTGAACATATCCCAGTCTATGGAGGAACATAGAAATATAATTTTCTCCCGTGTTTAAATCATACCTATGGTGCCACTCAAATGTCGATATTTTATTTTCTATATATTTAGAAGCAAAATGTATCTTCGCTACCCTACGCTTTCCCATTTACATTTCTCCCAGGTAGACGATTTTCCTTTCAATTCTAAATGATCGCTGAGCACACGGCTCCGTGCCCAGCCCAGGCCGGGGCTGCAGGGCTGCGGCAGACCCACAGGTGGCGATGTGGATAAAGCACACCTGGGCTG